ACTAAAGTGAATGCTCGAGAAAGAGCATCTCGTTCGGTGGATCGTTCCTCCCTAGCAAACAAATTGTTCGCCTGAGGGAACCTCCGAAACCGGCGTCAGTCTTTTTCTTTTGGAATATCACGCTTTATTGATCAAGAGAGGGAACCTCAATACAATCCAGGGTTACATGAAAAATAGAGTCACTAGTGGACTTAGAAGATCTGGTTAGAATATGTGCCGCGACATTCGACTAACGATTTATTACATGACTAAAGCAAACGGAGGAGAACGACGCCGTCTCCTTGATATCATTAGCGATGATCCTGATGCCGTGATGCATGATCAATCTGTCGATAAGCATCATTTTGCCCATGTAAAAGTTGGATTTGCGTTCGCATCACGTCGTCCATCCCTGCAGCCGCATGCGTCGCTGATCGTAGGCCGGCGACAGGAGCTAGAGTAGCCCTAGCTTTATACATCGGGGACGGCGGACGCCGGAGGAGAAGTCTCCCCTACCCCGATCTGTACGTACGTCTCACGGGAGCCTACAGTTAACCCCAAGAAGCAGACGATCATGTTTAATGCAGCGGCTAGCCCTAACAACAAGCCACTCGTGATGTAGGACTACTACTGTGTGCCCCGTGCCCGACAGTCCATGCCAAGACGCTGTACTATCATCGACCAGAGCAACAGGTAAACCAGTCTATCTACATGCAGCACTCGAGCAAGTTGCTATGGGGTAGGGGCTACTGCTCTTGTCACTACTCACTCGCGTTCTCGCCACGGAAGTGCGAGGGAACTTGAACCCACTCCGCTTTGAATCCGGCTAGTGGATCAAAATTGGCAGTTGGAGAAGATGAATCTATCTTTTCGCGACTAATAGTTTGATGTGACGACTCCTAGAATAAGTTCGGCACACCATGTTAGGCAGCAGCAAACAGCTCTACATGGAGTATACAGTACACCAAGTGGTAGGGTACGCGGATCCGAGAAGTGCATGGATGAACTCAGGTGCGTATGAAACCATTTTGGAAAACACATTTAAAAAAATCTGAAAAAAATTGCACGGGTACGTCTCTATGTTCTATGTGCGTGCATAAAGTTTCAACGAAAAATATATTTTTTTGTGGCCTGTGCAAAAAAGACAAAAAATTATGTCGTGGAACACTATTTAAAAGCACTGAAATTTGTCTTTTTTGCTGAGGCAAAACAAAAAGACATTTTTTTCATAAAACTTTGTGCCGCGTACACACATTTGCGAACATGTATGCGTGATATTTTCTTTTGAATTTTTGACATTTTAAAACATGCTTAAAATGCATTTTTTGAAAAGTGGGTGCATATGCCCATGGGTTCAGATGGTGCCCTCTCGCATGGATCCTATTGACCAACACGGGTAAGCTGATCTCCTTCCCCCCTTCCCCTCTCCTCCTCCTTCCTCACGGGCACCCGAGGGTGCGGCCGGGTGAAGCCCCGCCGTTGTCGGCGGCAGCGGGCACTCTGGGTCACCCCGCTCGAATGGGGTCCCCCCCCGACCGGAACGTGGCGCAGGGCCGGGCGTCAAGACGGGTGGTTGCGGCGCTTCGGCGCTTCTGCTTCTCCGCGGCATGCGGCCGGTGGACTGGTATGCCTTGAATGCCAGGGACAGCGGCG